TAAGATTAATTTATTCACTTTTTAATAAGTTATATTTTCCTTTATTCCTTTAAAATAAACTTCATATAAAACTGCGCTCTCAAAATATGCAGTTTAATAAATTTATACTAAATAACTGCTTTAGATCAATAAGGAATTTCTTTTGTATTATTGTTAAATAATATCTCTGGCGATAAGTTTTTAAAGTAACTATAACTGAGAAGAAATAATGTAAGTAAAAATGATGAATATGAGTTTGTGGGTGAAGTTTTAAATGTATCCGAGCTAAATTATTTGAATAAGTTAAGTGATATAATCGGAAACTAGATCTGTCTTAATATGATTTAAAATTTTGTGATAATTAAATCGAATAATTTTCAATTTTGATGTTTCAATTTGTTTGTGACAAATAACCCCGGTGTTTATTTTTTAAGATCGAATCATAATTCCAGTTCGGAGTTATTTATACAATAATAATTGTAGTTAGCAAAAGTAATAATTAAAATGAAGTGAGTTTTTAGTGAAGGTTAATTTAGTTCATTCAAATTGCGAAATTCAAATATTTAAGTCTAAATCAAATTTACATAGTAAGCAACCATATTTGCTTAAACAATGGATTAAATGTTAACATAGTTTTTTAAAGTGGTAGAATTTAATTAGTTTCAAAACGGTGTAACAATCTTTAAAAAAAAAATTGAAAAAATTAATTAAAATTAAAAAAAAGGTTGTGAAAAATATTTGTATTTGAATGTTAATTCAAAGAACAAATTAAATAAGTAATAAAAAATAAAATCTTGAACTCAAGGTGTTACTTTAACATAAAAAGTTTTACAAATTAGCAAATCAATTTTTAAAAAAACTAACAAACTTTATTTGATTTATAGGGAAAATATAAATTTATTTTTTATGTTGTTACTTTATATGAATTGCTTTCATATGACTACATAGTAAAATTTTATAAATTTAAATACTCTGGTTATTATTAGTTCTCTAAATAATCAAATCAAAATAATAAGCAATTTAAGATTTAATTAGAAAAAGTGCATGTTAAATAAAATGATAAAACCATTTTGAAAATAAATAAAGCCGTTTTAGAGTTTAAAAAAAATATTTCTTAAGTTTTTCTTAGAAGGAGGAAAAGCATAATGCAGAGTGAGTCTCTTCTGATATCTTTTAAAAGCTAGTTGACCCCCGCAGGTTGTAATTCCCCCTTTTCTGTGACAGTGGTTAGTCGATTAGTTTCGGATTACTTAACACCCCAGGAAATACGCGCACCCCCAACAAAAATGTAGGGGAGACAGTAGAGCGGGTTTTGGAGGTGCTATATATTTCGTCCCTATTCGGGACGAATTCTTACTGAAGGTTTTAGAAAGGAAATGGAAAGGCCTTTAAAATAACTGTCGTTGATAATGTTGACCGAAGCGAGCAATGCTCCCTATAGACTAACAGTTCAAAATAAATTATTATTCCTAATAAGTCTCCAGGGAATATTTTGTGCATCCATTTTATTTCTATTTAGAAAATTAGAATCAAAATCAACTAGCTTAACCTATTTCGTAGCAAAAAATTTTTTTTTGGACCTTTATGAAAAAAAGGTTGTAGAAGGCGTGACGTTTTGAAATCAAACATGGTATACCCTAAATTATTATTATATTATTATTTAAATTATAACCGTCGTTGAACAGCCGACCCAAATGTTTGGGCTTATGACTACTAATGTTCAATTTCGTAGCCTTGTAATTTTGAACCCAATCCAGAAGGCAAGG